TATTTTGGAAGCATAACGAAACATCTCGCTAGCTTCATTTTATCATGTTCGAGCTTTTAAAGATGTCTTGGTCCGGCATTCTCCCTTTGTCTAGTGTCTATGCTGGGTGCTGAGCGGTACAGCGATGTTTGCGAATTGTAGATGATTGTAGGTGATGGTCGTAAACGAACGTAAAACCGTTAACAACACATGCATCTGGCAATGACAGGCGCCCAAGTCAGTGCTCTTGATCACATCGTCATGACCAGGCCTCAACGTTCGACTTCAACCAGCGATGCATGTTTAACCAGGCAAGCCTCTGCGATATTAAGCGGTGAAAACTCCTACCATATGCTCACATGTACAATCAGCCGAATCCCTCAGTGAACCGTACGTTTTGCCAGTCTCCATTTTTTGTGGTGTGAATTTTTTCGCCAGGACTGGAGCATCTGCATAAATATATTGCTGCGAGTGCCTTTCAAGTTCACTTCAAACGAGCGCCATGGCCCATCCGCCACCTCGGTGTCACCCACCCACAGATGAAAGAATTCTGCAAAAAGTCCGTTGTCCGTCACTGGATAACAGGGGATTCCAACACAAGGATACTCTGGCTCTCTGGCTTCACGGGGAACGGAAGTCCAGACCAACGTATCTTCCTTCCTGCCAAAAGTTCATGGACACCATCAGTCTCTGTCTTCATCTCAAATTCCAATCCCTAAGACCACTTAGACGGAATCCGCAGACGTATGAATCTAACGTGAGTTCTTTGCTTCACTTTGACGCGTTTTATTCAAATGTGAATGCGGCGGAAAGAACAATGCTTTGCCACATAGTACATAAGCGCCAATGTCAATATGTCGACCTCTTACAGGATCTCAAGGTGAGCGACAGCAATTGTCTCAGCGGCCACAGCGACTCAGTGTATTTTCGACCAAAGCTTCATCGTACGGCACCGCGCTCGAATCTCCCTGACAACGCACCTTTTAGATATGTGTAAGTAGCTTCACATGCTACCACCTTTGCACGCAAGCTGATCCACCAGTCATCACAGGACATGAAACCAGAGATCTTCTCAATTCCAT